CACTTTGCTTTTGGTCACAGATTACAGACAGTGGATTAGCTGATGTTGCTGAAAATCTCCACACTCTAGAACAGCTGACATTCAGTGGATGTACATCAGTAACTGACATGGGTGTTTCCTTGGTCGCAATTCACCTGCAGAGGCTGGTAGCACTAGATGCATCTAAATGTGACAACATCACTGATAAGAGCGTCATGGACTTAGCAATACATGGCCGTAATTTAACCCACCTAGATCTGAGCATGTGCAGTCAGATTACAACAAAGGCTGTTGATCAGATGGAAGAGCATATTCCAGGTCTTGTCTCACTACAGTTGAGATATTCTGGGGCAAGACTTTGCACTAAGGTGTACGCCCTATAGAGATTCCAGAGTATGTATTTTGCTATGATGATAGGTGTACATAGTAGAGTAAGGGTGACAAACTGTACAACAATGCTTGCCAGTTCTCCAGTAGGTTGAACAATATATTGCTTGCAACTGCTAGTGATTTGTAAATACAGAATGGATTTTCTGGTTTGGATCAATAGAAACTATTTACAAGCTTTATAAACCCCCCTTTTCAAATTGAGGCTAATTGCAAGTCTTTGTAATAAAAATGAGCTGTATTTGCCTGCCAATAAAAAAATGACTTCCATCAAAAAAATCTGCACTTGATCACCCTTTTTACCAGGAGATTATGAATCTTTAAAATGGCCCATTATTTTAAAGTTGCATGTTAAATCTGTAGCTTTCTGGTGGTACTCATACATAGAATGCAATAAGAAACAGAGTCAATTTTCCAGACCTTTATTTAGCTTTTCTTGAATTAGTATCAGTCATTTAATCTTTTTAGCCCTGAATCTCTTAAAAGGTGTTTGCTGTGTTATGAATATTGTTCAGATATTTGGTTAACACATATACTGTCACACGTATTTAATCATCTTTAATAATAAAAAAAATTCCCAGTCATTAGCAATCTCTTTTAGCACTATTCATCTGTGTGGTATATAGTAATATATAAACAATAGAATCTGTTTGACGTGAAAATATGCAGATATTTTTCTGTAGATGTTCTCTGTTCCAAGATGAGCAAAGTTTTCTGAGAGCAAAGCTCTTCAAGGAACAGATAATGTCCAAGAACAAATATATAAGCATATTTTCATGCAAAATAGAGGTGTTTATCATCCTTTAAATATTTTGCAATACACCTGTTAAATGTTTACAAACAGCTTATTGTTTGCTACGTGGGATGTTTTCTTTTGAGTGTTGTTTGGTATGACTTTATGGAAAAATAAATATTCCCTTCTTCTGTAACAACCATAACACACTCTCTCTTCTTGAATTGAATTTTAGATGAAGACTTATCATGGTGGATGTAAGATTTGAAAATTGAGGAATATCATTTGCCCAGTTTCAGCTGGGGGATATTTAGTCAAGTGATGCATTTAGACCAATCATGCAAGCATAACTGTTTGATGGATCATAAAGTTGAACATCAGTGCTTGTTTAAAGAATATTTAGCTTTGGTAACTATACATAGTCTCGCAACAGAACTTCTCTGATAATTTTTTTTGAAACTAATGACACTAGGTACATATGGTATGTTATATTATAGAACTGTTTTTTACCACCTATTGGTAGTGTAAAAATGACATTCTGTTTGATTCCCTTACATTACCTCCCACCCCCTCCCCAACTCACCCCTCCCCCCCCCCCTCATTAGGAGACTTCATGAATATTCTACAATTATGTCTTACAGAAATAATGCACATGCAATTGTAGGGTGATTTACAATGATTATCTGCTGGTAAATTTAAAGCTTCCACAGTATGTATTAACTTGTGTAATACACATACTTCATGTGATTTCTTTCCTTTGAGGTATTTCTTTAAGACACTGAGACATTTTCCTCAGATGTCAAATATTTTTTCAGCCAGTGAGGAGGTTTAAAAGCTAAGTCTAGCATCCATTAATAGATATATGTACATGTAGTACCACTTACAATGTACCACAATCACCAACTAAGTTTTTTTTTCAAAATCATCAAAACAGTCATACAACGTAATGTGGATTAAAATGTTTCTTAGATGTACAAGCAAGCTTGAAAGATATATTGTTATCAAGGGACATGAGAATACCTTAATGTTGTACATATGTAAAGCAATTTGTACAGTTTTTTGTTGAGTATTTAGTTTCTGTAATACACCAAGAGGAAACAAAAGTATAGAGCGCTTCATTGAATTTTTTTATACATTCTAGAACTTCTAACTATCTGATAATAACCTTGCTGAGTGCATAGTAACCAATAAAGAATACTCCAACTAGTCCAGCTATAAGGTAACACATGATTTTTCTGTTTGATCGTCCTGCAGAAACCATTTGTGATAGTCGTGCTGCACTGCCACTCAACAAACTTGATGAGCTCCCAAAGTCATCTCCCTGTTGATTTTAAAATCGATTACCTTGATTTACTTTACATCAATACAATACAGTGAGTTGTAGCTCATGAAAATCAACATCACTTCCCAGGTAATGCTACAAACATGAGAGGTGTAAAAAGTGTAGTAGGTTGAGTTTGTGATGTATTGGCACCAATTGTAAAAATATGCTCTGAGAAGGTAGTGTTTCATCAAATTTTTGTGTAAACATTTTTCCATCTTCTCTACCTTTCAGCTTGAACATGTTTTGACAATTGTTTGAGTTCTTTGAGTAAAAGTATTAACTTTAAACAGTGTGGGGTAAAGTGTGGAGGTCAGGTGATCAGAAAATAACAGTTATGAAATAATATCAAGTACAGACAGTTGAGTAACAACTACTGTATATGATCAGATGAAAAATCTGTCAATTGCTTAGACCAATCCAAAAGATGGGTAGGGGTTGTATAATTCTGAAATTTAAACAGTTGTATTTCCACATTAAAAAAAACACACACACATAGCAGCATAATTACCATTCCATCAAGATATTTGTTTTGCTGCTTGCTTTCATTCTCGATGTCAATTGCAATCTTTAAAAAATGAAATGGATCAAATAAATTTCCATAAAACAAACTACATATTAAATTAGCTATGTTTGTATTACAGGGGGTTGTTCCTTATCTTAGACACCTCTTTTACATGGGGTGTGGGTTAGGAGCAGGAGTAATTTTCACACAGTTAGGAATGAAAAGGATTTTAACAGGTAGACTTGATTTAAAATCAGAAATGTGATGATGGGTATTACTGACAGGGAGGGGGAAGGTTCCAAAAAATGGAAACTATCACATTGATCAATGCAAATGAGGACCACAGCCAAAGTGCTTATTAAAATTCAAGCATTATATATAAGAAATATACAGAGGAAGGTATGGAGAATATGCACACTAATCTTAGGGTCTAAAGGTTTGTTACAACGACACAGTGTTACAGCAATGTCTTCCTACCCCTTTTAAACGGGAAACTTTTGCCGCCAAATCTTCCACCATTCGATTGTTCTCTGTTTCCAACATTTCATCTGTAGAGGTTGTCCTCGAACCTGCGCAACATGCCAGGTGACGAAAAACATTAATTTAAAAATTTCAATCGAATGATCTTGAAAAGTACACAATACGCTCGCTTTCGATGAAGAATTATTTACATTTAACACGTCATTAAAGTTCATGGACCATCTAAAATACTTAACGCCATAATCTCTCTGATCAAATTGGAAATTAATTCCTTTGAAAACAAACACTGACAGAGTTTTACTCGCTACATTTGTTTTTAAAAGCGTTTGATTTAAGATATCCCCAAAAAATCCCTACCTCGATTATTTCCCCACGACGCCATCTTGTATTCAGAAAGATTACTTGTGTAAGACGAATGGTGTGTCCTCTAAATTTCGATCTCATACCCAGACTACGAAGTTTGAAGAGCATCTGACGTAAGTGTCCATTTAATTTGTCCAATAATTCGATCGTACAGAGAGCTTAATTGCAAATTTTTATTTGCGATTATTCCATCTTCCCTTCAAGCTTAACGACAGGAGAAACTTCAACAGTATATTAGGGGAACCGGCGAAGCGAAGTAGCTCTAAATATGTTGCCAGTGTGGTGCCACACTCCTTTTGTACTGTTTGCCCAAAAGCCATGACAGAACGCAGTACTAAGTCATTATAAAAAGACCTAGTTGAGATTTTAGTATCAAGCCCGTCTATCGGCGACCTTGGAGATAAAAACTTTTCCTTTTGTTCATCATTGTAATGTCACGGCATAAGGAAGTCATGGCCAACGTGTGATACTCCCGGAACCATTACAACTTCCTCAAATGTGATTTGCGCATTACCTGCTTTGTTTTTCACTAATTATTCTCTAGTAGTAGAGTCGGACAGTGTTAATGGACAGTTGACTGTAATCGGACACCTGTACTCGGACAGTTAAGGCAGCAAATCATACTAAGTCGGTTAAAGAGACAAGTTTCTAAAGAAACTGTGGTGCTTCGTCGGTGGGGGAGTGAAACAAGATAATATTGGTTTCATCAAGTGAGTTGATAATAATAATTGACTACCTTAAAGAGTTTTAACTGACGTTTCGAGCGTTGGCCCTTCGTCAGAGCGAATGACATCCTCTCAGCAATGAAACCGCGACAGCGATTTTGCCATGTTTTTATTTTGTACTCAAAACTACATTCAAGTGTTATGCCGAAGAGAAGACAGTGTGCCGTCAGAACGGTTAGCGCATCGAGCAAAAATCTTAAAACAAAATAAATAACCTTTTTTCGGCAACCTTTTATCACAAGTCACCGTAGTGACATCTTAAACTCCTTATTTACGAGTGCGATAACAACCTCGACGTCGAGAAACTTCACTTCAGCATCTCGGGGTTGGGCTATTTTTCAACCACAGCTAGGCGGGTCATCTCACCTACCTGGGGTCCTCCACAGGCCCTTAGTTTTTGTTAGAGCTTTCCGAATTACTCTCTACTTCATTTCGTGAGACTAGATGCATTTTTAACAATTTTCTTTTTCACTCAGTCACTCAGATCGATTCGTAATACCGTGTTCATTCATTGTAAACCACCTGCATTTTATTACGTGTTTCAAACGTAGGGGGCAAAGTCCTCTCTTGTTCAGTAAATCTTAATTTATTCGAGATCCCAGTATATCTTTAGTTAGGGTCTATTGGAGATACAACAGAGTTGCAGTTTGCCTTTCGTAGTACAATTTCGTGGAATTATATTTTTAAGGCGATTGACTTTTGATTTCTCTCTGTTAGAGGAACGGTTGGAAGCTTAGGCTCTTTCGCAACCGTTATGGTCTCGTCGCGCAATGCACTCACTCTCCTACGACGAATCGAGGGCGTTAGGTGACGAGACCAAACGACGGCTGCGAAGGAGACTACAAAAGTATTTAGACAGTAGAGATAAAAGACCACAAAATACCTGTGAGTTTAGATAAATTAGGTTCTTTTTCTCTCTCTTAAAGTGATGTAATGCGATATTCTCGCTCTTTTGAAAGTTATAAACACAAAGTGTCCCATCTCGACCTACTCAGCCGAAAAAATAGCTCTTCCATGCTACGCATGCCTATCTTCACACAACGGTAGGTCGTACATCGTCAACCTTGCTCAGGCGGCGTACATTGGTTACGAACGGAAGTAAATTTCTGAGCTCCGATACTTGAGCTAGGATGGTGATCACTATTCAATACCACGTAGAGGCTGAAGACCTTAACTTTTTATTACTCAGCATTGAATAAACGTGTAACACTGCTGCGAGAAGAAAACTGACGTGCTATAGCACTAACAGACTGACAAAAGTTCACACTGTTGTTGTAGAACCTCAGTATCAACTACAAAACAGAGCATATATTCTTGTTCTCGGCTTGAGATTCTTAACACGTTGAATTTTGGTTTCACATCGAACCTTTTAGAAAAAAGCGCCTCAAATTTCTAATTCAGTGCTGCGTCAAAACCAACAATTGAAGTAAGAATGCATGTGCATTACGTATAGATATCACCTGTAATGCCTGCAGTGGTTTTATTTAATTCATAACCCCACTATTAATTTTCGTACCGCGCATTGACAGCAAAAATTTTGTTGACTTCTGTTTTACTTTTCAGACCAGTATTTGATATCAGCTTTTTAAAATCATTACAAGCAAGAGCCCATCACTTGGAGCGTTCAACTCCCATACTCACCCTATGTCACGGCGTTTTTATAGAACGGTTTATTTTTAGACTATCTTTACGCGGAAAATAAGCTACTCGAGCTCACCTGGGTAATATGATCCATGAAACGCGAAGAAAAAAATGGCAGCCCCATACCGGGACGTCTTCATATCAAAACTACGCAAATTCCGCCTTTTCTTTGCTGCATTCCAGTATTCCAATCCTTCCTTTCTTTATATATCCCACAATCCTTTGCACATTTTTCATACTTGCGAAAAAAATTCGCAGGAGTGCGGATCATCGTTGTATTTTTATTGTATTTATTTATTTTTTAATTTTCGTGTGTATCAAAGGTCATCCGTCTTTTGATTCTGGCCCCTCTAAAGAAAATTTCACGAAAAGCGTCAAAATTCAAGACGATGAAGAAGCGAAATGCCAGCGATAATAGAGAGCGCGGAAACAAGAAAATGAGCAAGCTGTGTGCGAGTTGTCTTCATCTCAAGAATCTTCATCCACACAGTCCGTAAAGGAAATTTTGCGATGCAGGATTGAGCAGGAGCGGGCGCAACAAAACGAAGAGCGTTTTTCTGGATCGCAAGATAATGTTACTCTTTCGAATTGGGCTTCGATCTTGTCAAATCTTACTTATGTTATTTTTGTGAAGTGCGGTCGATAATTCCCTCATGCGGCAAAATGCCTATTGTCGCTTTGATCATTGAACAGCCTAGAGTCAGGTTCATCTTCACTAGAACTTTCCTCGGAACTGCTGCTTCCCGAAGTATTTTCAAAATATTCACACCGCAAGCGTCCCAAGTTCACTGTTATTCCTGTTATAAGACGAAGTCAAGGCTGCGCACTTCGATTTCGACCGTTGTATAACAGGAATAACAATGACGGCAAAGCAAGCTTAAAACGGCAGAGAACGCCGGAAACCACAACGGACACAAAAGATGTGAGTAAATTCTATTGAGTTAACGTGTAAAATGTCTATATTTGGAAATATTTATCGTTGTAAACCGACCATATTTCCTTCCCCATGCTATTCCTTATATCATGTTCAAATTCTCAACGGTTCCTCCTATAAGTTAACACCGAGTCACACAACATGTGACGCTTTCATGAATTAACGGTTTGCTTTTTATCGAGACGTGCGCTTGGGACGCCTTTGCTCACACGAATCTGCACTCGAACTATTGCAAGAAGCCTTGTATATCTCTCCTGTTTTTCTTTCGATATATTAACAAGTAAAGTTAGAAATTAACCAGACGCTAATCTTGATTGGTCGATGTGCTCTCGTGGGGAGTCTTAGTTCGCGGTAAATTCAAACTAAAAATAGAGTTGTCTGTGAAACGCCGTGACAAAAATACAAGGCAGTTGAAGGCTCCATGTGATGGGCTCCTGCTTCAAGTGAACTCTACAAAATTACTTCGTTTTTCTTCCATGTTCTGTAATGAAGATGAAAAAAGTGAAAGTCTAGACCGGCTTTTTCTGCTGTCTTTGTTTCTTTTCGACGGAAATAATCGGGGGACAAATATCAACGTAAATGGTGGTTATTTTATTAAAAATGTGAGGTGATTTTGAACCACGTGTCTTAAGGTAGCCTAGAGTCAATAGCAATATACTTTATTACTCGATGTTTTTCTTTAAAAGAATAGAAAGATGCATGCGTATAATAGACAGAAAAACGATCCCATGAGGAAAAGGAAGATTAATGATTTAATACTTCATATGGTAATAGTGTAGCTGTATTGGGGATACATGTTCATTTAACAGTGGAATAATCAGTAAAAATAGAAATAAAAGCTATCTATGAGTCAATAAAGTAAACAGTCATTCATGTTGTTGACAGCAAAGTTTCTCAGCTAAATCTGTGCGATTAACAAATTGATGACACAGTGCATCATGTAGGACCATGTATGTTGCAGCTGAGCCATCCTTCTGTTTCCAGTGTCGTAACATTTTATAGATTTTTTGACGATTTTTCCTATAGTCATCGTCAAATGCCGTTAATGTTGCTTCCCCAATTTTGAGACGACGCCCGAGTTCCTCCCAATTTTCGAGTTGGTGCGAAAGCCACTTTAATTCTTCGTCACTGGGAACTCCTTCCTTGACTAAAAGCATAAAGACATCACAGCAAAGCATAAAGATGAGGGGATAGCGAGTAATAAGCATCGCAAATATTCATGCTATTTTTCTGAATCCACGCATTTTATTTTACAGAGGCAGGGGGCTGGAAGATGAGGTGGGAGGGGGGGGGTTTAACGGGTACGCTCATAGATATCTGAGATTTACCTGCGAAACCAGTTTTTCTTTTCTTTGCAGTTAAGGCGTCACACGGAGACGACTCTTCATCACGGCGATTCACCTTTGGCCGACGCAAGTGTTTGGTAGAATCACCTGCATGATAACAAATGTAAACAACTCACTAGACCAGAACATGTTATTTGAGCCAACAGATTCATTGTAGCAAGGGAGCTTTTTCCTTTCCTAATGAAGCGTCTCCTGATGAATTTGTTTCAAGGCCAATTCGCGCCATTGCATTATGCATCCCTACTGTGCATCATTTTACACGAAATATGCACGCCCACATACGCGAACAGAAGATTTCTTGTTCTTTTTTTTTCTGCCAGGAACTAAAATTGTAATCGCTACGTAAACGGATTTAGTGACATACCACTCACAAATCTTGTTTGCAATCGAGCGGAAAGCCTGGAAAAAGTCTTTTCCATACAATAAACAATTTGGATAAAAAAAGACATTCACATAAATTGAAAACTTGTAAGGGCACTCGTAACACTTGCACACTTGTATCGAATTTTTGGCAAATGTTAGGGAAAACTAATTAGAACAGATTTTTTTGGTCAATAGATGAGCTTGTTCATAGACTTGACGATTTTCCTTATCCGCTAAAAAGTTTTCAGGATTTTCCGTCGTTTAGGGCCATTACGTGCGATTGCATTACGCACCCCTACATGTTATATAAATCGTTTTACACGAGATAAGGAGGCCCACGTACGCAAAATGAAAATTTTTTAATTTCCAATTTGGTTACCATTTAAATTCGAGCAAAAAACTTGGAAAAAAAAACTATCCTCTCTGTAATTGTCAGTGTAGAAATACAGTCATTAAAAAGGAAGTTTCCAACGGTAATTGTGTAAATTGAGTGTAAAAATAACAGTTTTACGTCAATAAGTAACTGTCGCAGAGAAACAAGGAGCTGGACTACGAGGCTACTTTCATGGAGTCTACGTTGTGGCTTCTGGTATCCTTTTGAGATGTCATGCACATGCACCGCCGCTCTCCCCACTAGAAGCGGTTGGTGACAATCGCACTCCTCCACTTTCACACAGTATTTCCTGTATCTCTGCATTCTAGTAGGCGGGCAAGTGCTTTCAAGCAAACTGATATTGACTTAGCTATTTATCGACAAATTTTACTCGCTCTGATGAAAAAGACTTACCAGTTTGTTTCTTGGATTCCAAAGCCTAAAATGCAAGAGGAATTAGTGGCAACCTTACGCTTACAGTTAGCAGTTAATAGAATAAATTGATACATAAATATACGGATAAATATAATTTATAACGTATTCTTTAATAGCCCAACCGACTACCTCTCATGTGATCGCCTATGGAGTAAGTTTTTGATACCAAGTTTATTAAGGCGGATGATTGAAAAAACAGTATGTATTGTTTATCAGATATGGAAGTGGAAGTTGTGCATCGTAAAGGGATCTCCATATCCCTCTTTTCAGGCCTACACATTTGGAAATGAAATAACCATTGTAACTAAACCCAAAAGTAGAAAACTTGGGAAAACAGTAGACTACGAATACTTCAATTTTATACAAAAATGTAGCTCCCTCACATATAGTCACCCAAAGTGTTGCAGCTCACGGGTAGCTGATTCTGACACTTGATATTAAGAAAACGCAATAATAGTAATAAAGGGGAGTATAAGCATTTCTTCTAAGCCCTCGCATCATTAAGACAAACTGCCTAAAACATACGTCAAATCCTGTGTTTGGCAGAAGGAAGATAATTTCAGATGTCTCTACCTGTCTTTCTGTTTATTTATGTTTGTTTGTTTGTTTTTTTTAATTTTATTTTTTTTAACTTTTTCTGGTAATCGCACAAAATTTATTAATTAGAGAAAGATCAACGATCAACGCAGCTAGAAGAACTTTTGAAGTATCAGTAAAAGATAAAGCCTGGACAAATTCAAGTTTTGATGAGCATCGAACATTCTACGAAAGTGGTGCGTGTGATAGAGCTATCAGCCAACTGCGATTGTCAAATTCTCCTGATTCGCTCTACGTAAATTGAATTAATTTTTTTTGCTAACCTGAGCCCAAGGATCCAGTTTTTTTGCAGGATAGTAGGGAACAGCACCAACAGAGTTTTTCCACAGGCCAAACTTTCTTAATGGAAAGTTGTCAAAGTCAGAGCAGCCTTCCTCTTTGAACAATATGCAAATATTGGTTCCGCCACGACACTTATCTGGACAATGGTATATAAACAGTATATAATCAATTTTTCTCCTGAGGACAATGAAACAAAAGATAAAAATAGTTGTACTTCGAAATAGAAGCCCTACAGTAATGTAAGAGATTCACCCTTCGAGATTTTGATGACGATCTTAAGAGTGGTCGCCTGTAAAAAATCGAGAAGAGTTGAAAATAAAAATTAATTTTTTTCAAACTTTGCCAGAACATAGGTATGAATGGCCTTAGTTACAGAAAATATAAAAATACCGAAAAAATTATTTTGGGAGAACAGTGGCATTTTGTGTTTCAGGGGTTCATAACGGTGTTTTCCCGGTGAAACAGGGCACCTCAAGATTACGGCCGAAAAAAATTTATTTCGCCAGCAATTCGGAAACCACTTAACAATTCTAAAACAAGAGATATTTTTCAAAGGTTCCGAAGTACTTTTTCCAAAATTCCTTAACACCGATTTTTTTACAAATTTTCTAATTCAGGTAAAATATAGCTCAGCTTTGGCGACTAAAATCGGCCACTGTTGCATGGCTCCGTAAACTGAGACAATAACCATTGTCAAGAACAAGGTTTCTTGAAAATTGTCCAGATTGCCTTGACTTTTTGGCTTCAGGAAAAAATTATATGTATATTGAATATGAAGGAGACCTGTTTCGAAGTTTTTGTATGATATACGAGGGAATTCGAGTGTTTTGGTAATGTTTTTCTTAATGTGACGTGCAAGTTACGTTGGTCACGTAACGCGCTTCTTGAGCTCAAATACGCTTATATAAATCGCTCTAAAAATTCGTAGTTTAAGTAGCCCAAAAATTATATTGCAGTTTCTAAAAGAAGAAACCTTGTTCTTGACAATGGTTATTGTCTCAGTTTATGGAGCCATGTAACAGTGGCCGATTTTAGTCGCCAAAGCCAAGCTATGTTTTGATGGGTAAAATTTTACCTGAATTAGAAAATTCGTAAAAAATCGTTTTTAAGGAATTTTGGAAAAAATACTTCGGAACCTTTAAAAATATCTCTTGTTTTAGAATTGTTTAGTGGTTTCCGAATTACTGGTAGCTTTTAGATTTTTCCGTAACTAAGGCCATTCATACCTATGTTCTGGCAAAGTTTGAAAAAAATTAATTTTTTTATTTTCAACACCTCTTCTCGATTTTTACAGACTACCACTCTTAAGCACGAAAGTCGTTCAAATAATCGGCCCCAATCTCTGAAACGTATTCAGTTCGTTCCAAGTCGTAAGACTCTAATTAAAAAAACAAAAAAATTAACATTGCGTTGCAGTTTTACGTTATATATTCATTTTGCCAAAGGGTTGGGGGTTGATACTGTATTGCAATTAGACGAAAATTTCACAGCAACATTTTTCCGAAGCGACACTTTTCCAGTTTCGAGGCGCTGTCAACAACGAACATAAAAGATTCAGTGGCCAAAAAGCATGGTGTCTGAGAAGTTAGGCACTATACTGGTACGTAATTGTATTATTGAATTGCAAGACTAGTGATATATTACCAGTGATAAATTGGGGCAAATTCGAATATGCCCCAAGTTGCTCAGTTAAATCTGTGCGATTAGCCAATGGGTGACAATGCATCATGTAGGACCGTGTATGTTGCAGCCGAGCCATTCTTCTCTCTCCAATGTAGTAACATTTTGTACATCTTTCCAAAATATTCCCTATTTTCATTGTCAAACGCCGTTAATCTCGCTTCCTGAATTCCGAGACGACGCCCAACTGCCTTCCATTTTTTTTCGACCTCCTCCGAAAGCCACCCCAAATCTTCGTCACTGGGAATTCCTTGCTTGACTAAAAACATAACGACATAACAGCAATGCATCAAGATGAGAGGATAGCGAGTAGTACGTATCGCAACGACTCATGACATTTTACACGCATTTTTAGT